TACTATACACAATTTTTTGATATAAAAAGAAAAAAAAATTAAACTTGAAAATAATAACAGGAAAAGTCGTCAAGTTTTCCTCACAATAAAAGTGAACCTTTTTTCAACAAAAATACGATTTTAGGTTAAAATTTACTATTAATTTGTAGTAAATTAAATTATTTTTTACTATTAATTTTGTTTCCTGGTATTCCACATGGTTGTAAAAAGTTTAAAGCGTTTTTTGCATTATTTCTTTCTAATATACACTCAAAATGAATAAGATATAAATAAGTTTACATTTTTTTGGAAATTTTTGGTACTGGAAGGGTTAACAAGAAGTGTTTTTTTAAGTGTTAAGGTGAATTATCGACACATTTTTTGAAATCTAAACAAAACAAAATATTTACTGATGCTTTTATTTATTATAATTTTAATTAAATTATTATATAAAATAGTAAAATCACTTTTTTTAAAGAGGTGTAAAAGACTTCACTATCATCATTTGTTTTTGATTGGATCAAATAATTATTAAAATATTATAATTATAAAACTACCGAAAGTTAATTTTATCAATAATATATGTTTTAAAAATCATTTAAAAAATTTTTCTTGAAATAAGTGGAATTAAACCCGATAATTCCAAAATATTTTAAGTGAATTGAACCCGTATTATACTGAAATTATTTGCAAATTTAACTGTGTCTAACAACAACTTCAATATGAAGATTATACTACCTACTATTTTAAAATTATCAATAAAATAAGTTCTTATTCACATGTTGAATTAATGGAAATTATTAGATTGTCGATTTAATTATTTTTTATCAAACATTTTTCATCTGAAATAAATTTAAAAAAAATTCAAAATAACACTAAAACACCTCAAAAGTAGATTGAGTTTTTAACGAAACAAAATAATATTAGTAAGTATTTTATCATAAAACCAACATAAACAATTTATTTTTTGATTTTTTTTTAATTTTATCATAAATTATTTAAACCGACAAATAATCTTTATTTTAAAAAATTTCCAAACTCGACAGTTATCACGTGATGATAGTCTCGATGTACTTTAATACCATCAAAAACTTCATCAATCTCAAGATTGTATGTAAGAAGTTCAATGACAACATGAAGAAGTTTCACTTCAACCCAATTCCATTGACTAACAAAACATTTAAACATTTTCCAAACATCGAGACACTTCATTTGTGGAAAAAACACAATGAAAATTTTGGGAATGGATTTATTATCAATATTGTTGAGGGTGATCATGAATATTATGAAGAAATAAACAAAAGAAAAAAGGTTATTAGAAAAAAAGTGTTTTACGAAATTATCGTGTGGTTCGAAGTAGATTATGTAACTGTTTTCAAAAACAGTGGTTTAAACATAAAATTTAAAAATGTGATTTATACTAAAAATAACACAAAAGTATATGGCTTTAAAATACCACAGTGCATTGGATCTTTACAAGATAATTGTTTTAGTGAATGTAAAATAATAAGCAGTATAGTCATACCTCCAAACATCAGATCTATCAGTTCTGGTTGTTTTTATGGGTGTTGTAATTTGGGCAATATAGAAATATCAACAAATATAACGTCATTTGGTAATTATTGTTTCTTTGGATGTGAAAAATTGAGTAATATTGTTATACCATCAAGTGTGACAAGAATTGGTGAATATTGTTTTTGTGATTGTAAAAAATTGAGTAGTGTAATAATACCATCAACTGTCACATAGATTGGTTATCGTTGTTTTGTTAATTGTAGCAATCTGAGCAATGTAATAATTCCAATTGGTGTTAAATATATTGAAGATGATTGTTTTAATGGATGTAGTAATCTAAGCAGTGTGACTATACCATCAAGTATAACATCATTTAGTAATAAGTGCTTTAGTAAATGTAGCAATCTAATCTCTATAGAAATTTCAACAAGTGTGATAAAATTTGGTTATAAATGTTTTAATAAATGTGGCAGTTTAAGTAGTGTGGTTATTCCATCAAGTGTGACATTCATTGGTGAATGTTGTTTTTCTGGATGTAGTAGTCTTAAAAGTGTAAGTGTGCCGTATAATATCACATTAATCAGCAATAAATGTTTTCATAAATGTAGAAGTTTGAGTAGTATTGTAATTCCATCAAATGTAATAAAAATTGGTGATCATTGTTTTTGTAATTGTGTTGGTCTGAGTTCCGTAGAATTGCCATTGATAAAAACATTTGGCAGCTATTGTTTTTATAAATGTATCAGTCTGAGCAGTGTGACAATACCATCAAGTGTCACGTTGATTGATAAAAAAATGTTTTTTAAAGTGCAACAATTTGAGTGATATTGTTATACCATCAAGTGTGACAAAAATTGGTGAATATTGTTTTTTAAAATGTGAAAAAATGAGTAGTGTAATAATACCACAAGGTGTGATAACACTTGAAAATTGTTGTTTTGATGGATGTTCGAGTTTGAGTAATATTGTAATTTCAACAAGTGTTACATCGATTGGAGACAAATGTTTTAGAGGATGTAATAAGCTTGTCAGTGTGACTATACCATCGAGTGTCATGTATGTCGGTGATAATTGTTTCAGCACACTGTTATTATTCAAAAGAGTAATTAAAATGAAACTGTTATTTTTGTGTGACACTATTACAAAGATGGTGTTTTTTAATAACAAACAGAATTATTAAAACGATTTATAAATGATAACAATAATAATTTGTTGCAACAATTTTTATTATCATATTATTTTTAATTGAATATGAATTTGTTATAATATTGAAAATACCAATAACATCGATAATTATATTGGCGTGATATATTAATA